GGTATAAAGTCATGTTTATGAGATAGGAAGTTGCAATTGTGAGATGAAGTCACGTTTCTGAGGTATGAAGTTGTACTGTATTTGTGAGGTATAAAGTTGCAAATTTTAAGGAATGAAGTCACATTTGTCAGGTAAAATCTTGCATTTGTTAGTTATGAAGTCACATTTGTGAGGTGTGAAATCTTATTTGTGAGGTATAAAGTCACAATAATGTAAAATGAAGTCAAATTAGTGAGGTATAAAATAATTTTTGTGTGGTAGTTGCATTTATGAGATAGGAACTCACGTTTGTGAGGTAAAAACTGGCAAGTAGAAGTCTTAATTATGAGAAATAATTTCACATTTGTGAGATATAAAGTTGCATTTGTGAGTTAAAAGGGTCGCATTTGTGAGGTAAAAAAAGTTGAAATTACATGGTATACATTTGCATTTGTGAGGTATAGAGTTTCAGTTATGAGAAAAGTAGTCGCATTTCTGATGTAAAAGTCACATCTATGAGGTAAAAGTAGCATTTCTAAGGTATGAAATCATTTTGAATGCAGTATTGTGAAATGAAGTATATGCTAAATAAAATGCACACTCGCAGCGCACACACATAATGCTAGGTTCACATTACTCCGTTTGCAGTGCATACGTGGTGCATATTTTTTCCGCGCTATAATTTCACATTTGTGAGATATAAAGTTGCATTTGTGAGTTAAAAGGGTCGCATTTGTGAGGTAAAAAAAGTTGAAATTACATGGTATACATTTGCATTTGTGAGGTATAGAGTTTCAGTTATGAGAAAAGTAGTCGCATTTCTGATGTAAAAGTCACATCTATGAGGTAAAAGTAGCATTTCTAAGGTATGAAATAATTTTGAATGCAGTATTGTGAAATGAAGTATATGCTAAATAAAATGCACACTCGCAGCGCACACACATAATGCCAGGTTCACATTACTCCGTTTGCAGTGCGTATGTGGTGCGTATTTTTTCTGCGCTCATGTTAACGGATTATTAAAGCGTGCACACTGCACACCATTGCAGACCGGCAGTGAGTTCCACGAGCGGGGCGTCTGCAGCAGTGCAGAGATGGTTTCCTCACCGCGTCTATTTTTGCTGCGCTGCAAGCAATTAATTAAAGTAACAGCGCATTTTTGCAGTAAATATGAACATGGATTGACACGAAATGCATATTATTAAAGTCTACTGTGTTTCACAGTCAACACATATGGCTTTTTGGCTAGGTTTAAAGGGAAAGAGCACTTTTAGATAAACAAGGCAATAATAGATGGCAGGTAGGAAAACAAAGTTCTTTATGAACCGCAGGATTGCATTTAATAAAGATTTCAATGCAAAAGGAAAGGCAGTAAAGCTGACTATTTCTGTCAGTGGTAAGTTTGTGATAACATAAGAAAAGTAGTTTAAATGTTTTGCCACTTGCTTGAGCAACTTAATACATAAATCTAGAAGTAAATGCAAAATTAAAACGCATTGAATAATGTGTTGCTTATATTTATTGTTTAAACAT